ACCTAAATTTGCCTGTTATCCAGAATGATATCAGTCCGTCCCTGTATCTTAGTAATTTGGGCCCTTATTCTCCTGCATTCATATTAATTTGTAGGGTTTGACCATGCACACAATAACATGCTGGATTAGCTGGTTTATGTGTGCTGTGACTTTATCGGTTACATTACAATTTATAGTTTGATAGTTATTGACACATTAACGGCTGCCAATGAGACATCAGTGATGTCAACGCAATCACAATCTCTCCCTTGCGTAACTTTCAAGAACACTTTCACCTTTATCGGTTTGGTGAAAAACTCCAATTCTATCAAAGAAGAGTTATCAACATATTAACGCACGCATCATACACTTCGCAAATTCAACACCAAAAAGGGATTGATAAGCCACAGAAAACATTTTTCTAATTAACCAATAACCCTAAAAATCTCCAAGTGTCTTCTCACGAGTAAAACAAACAACACAAACATTTCCCTTAAGCTAATCATATGTTGAAGCAACAGCACCACATTTATATGAATGATTCCACACTGAACAATTAAAGCAAATAAAGGAAAAATAAGCACTGTATAAACAATAAACACAGCAAAAAATGATAATACAAGAAATACACATGTCTACCATGTTGCTTTAAAGACTGCCTCATTCAGTAATGACGTTATGCATGGGAAGAAAATGTACATATTGTTACACCAAATCAAGCGTGGATCCTGGGTGCTCACCTCAGCCATGACTAGACTAAGATAGGTGCCCTTGCAACTTGCAAAACGCAGGACACTGGTGGCAGGGCAGGTCACCTGCTATTACTATGCTTTGTTAGTAGCATAGTGCAATCATGGCCACATTATCAAGGCCACATTAGTAGGAGTATATCTACTTGTTTTCCTTTCCATCTGCCCTGGAGAGCCAGCGGGAATATGACATCATGGTCATAACACTGCAGGAACTCCTACATCTCCACCTCTGAACAGCAGAAGAGAAGGGGGGAAGTACTTCCCTAACAGGTGGAGCCTCAGAACAGGACACCTTTTTGGTTTGTAGACAGTCCAGCACCACTACCACAGCAAGGCAATGGTGTAATATATTTTTTTATCGTGAAATAAGCTTAAAGGGAAAGAGGGTGGGGGGCAGTTTCTGGGGGAAAATGTGGTGCATGATGGAGAATGAATTACTTTACCTATGCAGTGCTTAGTGAATATTTCCCATATAAAGCTATAAATTAATATACACAGTAACCTATAGATGTATCACATACTGAGATGTGGATTTAACAACATATATTATCCTGTATCTACAAACACCTGGACATGTCTTCCTCGATGGTTTGTTAATGGGAGGGCGTGCGAGAGAATAGAGGTGAAGAGCTAATGAAAGAGGTGTAATAAGTACATCTGGAGATACCTTGCCTAACTCTCACCTGCAGTACCAGAGAAAAGGGGACTTGTCATAGATACAGGTAAATAAATGGTTAAAAAGGCCTTTTTGTCTTAGTTAAGTATTTCCACGTCTGCAGGGGTTAAAAGCAAGAATTTTCTCTCTTGGCTGCAATCGGTACTCCCTTTTCTCTGTTTCACAGGCCAAGATAACCTTCGCATAGTTTAGAGAAGATGTGCTAGACATGCGCAGTAGATTTCCTGTAGTACGTAATGTTATATGAATAATTATACTTTTTGCACTGAACATCTACCAACAAACAGTGTAATTCCCACACTGCCTTTTATTCCCCGCCATATTCCCCACACTGCCTTTTATTCCTGCCATATTACCCACACTGCCTTGTACTCTTCCTGCCTCCACTGTATTCCAACACAGATTCCATCCATCTACCCTATAGGGGTATGAGGTTGTATCATATGTAAAATATGGCATATGAATGTGTGGGCTTAAATAGTATAATTATATTGCATTTGATAATGGGGTGATTTTTTTTTTCCAGTCCTGTAATACATTAATATGTAGTGGGTGAATTGTATTGCTGTAAAACTCTGTTATGCACGCATACACTGTGTATGTTACATAGTTACATAGTTACATAGTTACATAGCTGAAAAGAGACTTGCGTCCATCAAGTTCAGCCTACCTCACATTTGTTTTTTGCTGTTGATCCAAAAGAAGGCAAAAAAACCCAGTTTGAAGCACAATTTTGCAACAAGCTAGGAAAAAAATTCCTTCTTGACCCCAGAATGGAAGTCAGATTTATCCTTGGATCAAGCAGTTATTACCCTACATTGAAAGATTATATCCTTGAATATTCTGTTCTTGCAAGTATGCATGAAGTAGCCCTTTGAACATCTGTATGGACTCTGATAAAACCACTTCTTCAGGCAGAGAATTCCACATCCTGATTGTTCTTACAGTAAAAAAAAACTTTTCCTTTACCTTAGACTAAATCTTCTTTCTTCCAGTCTAAACGCATGGCCTCGTGTCCTATGTAAAGTCCGGTTTGTGAATAGATTTCCACACAATGGTTTGTATTGGCCCCGAATATATTTGTATAATGTTATCATATCCCCTCTCAGGCGACGTTTTTCTAAACTAAATAGGTTTAAATTTGTAAACCTTTCTTCATAGCTGATATGTTCCATTCCTTTTATTAATTTTGTAGCCCGCCTCTGCACTTTTTCTAGTGCCATAATATCCTTCTTTAGAACAGGTGCCCAAAATTGCACAGCATATTCAATATGGGTCTTACCAGTGATTTATAAAGAGGCAAAATGATATTCTCGTCCCGAGAATGAATGCCCTTTTTCATGCATGACAATACCTTACTGGCCTTGGCCACTGCTGATTGACATTGCACATTGTTGCATAGTTTGTTGTCTATAACAATTCCCAAGTCCTTTTCGTGTGTTGTTATCCCTAATTCGCTTCCATTAAGGGTATATGTTGCATGTGTATTCTTTACGCCGAAGTGCATAACTTTGCATTTTTCAACATTAAATTTCATCTGCCATTTGAGTGCCCAGTCCCCCAGTCTATCTAAATCCCTCTGCAGCAAAGTAATATCTTGCTCACATTGTATTGTTTTACAAAGTTTGGTGTCATCTGCAAACACTGAAACATGACTTTCAATGCAGTCTTCAAGATCATTTATAAACATGTAAAATAGAAGGGGTCCCAGAACAGACCCCTGAGGGACACCACTTGCCACCTCTGTCCAACTTGAAAATTTACCATTAATGACAACTCTTTGTACTCTGTTTTTAAGCCAATGTTCTACCCAAGAACAAGCATTTTCATCTATACCGATTTCCTTGAGTTTGAACACTAATCTATTGTGTGGAACTTTATCAAATGCCTTGGCAAGATCCAAATAGATTACATCCACGGCAACACCCTGATCTATACTTCTACTTACTTCTTCGTAGAACGCAATCAAGTTAGTTTGACATGACCTGTGCTTCATAAAACCGTGCTGATTTTTGCTGATAACCATGTTCTTCTTAAGGAATTCTTGAATACTATCCCTTAATAACCTTTCGAATATTTTACCAGCCACAGAAGTTAAGCTCACAGGTCTATAATTTCCAGGCAAGGATTTTAAACCCTTTTTGAATATAGGAACCACATCTGCCTTCCTCCAATCCTCCGGAACACTTCCTGAAAGAAAAGAATCTTGAAAGATTAAAAACAGAGGTTCACTTATTTCTACACTTAGTTCCTTAAGTACACGTGGATGGATACCGTCAGGCCCTGGAGCTTTGTTTATATTAACTTTCTTTAGTTGCTGCAGCACCTTGTCTTGAGTTAAACAATTACAATTATTCTGCAAGTTTTTACTAGCAATCATTTGCACATCTATTGCCATGGGTTCTTCCTTAATATATACGGAGGAGAAATAGTTATTTAAAATTCCTGCCTTTTCCTGGTCTTCATTAACTAACACCCCCGTTTCAGTTTTTAGTGTACCTACACTTTCATTTTGTTTTTTTTTAGAATTTATGTACTTAAAAAATGCTTTGGGGTTGGTTTTACTCTCTTTAGCTATCATTATTTCATTTTGAAGTTTAGCAAGTCTAATTGCCTAATTACCTAATATGTTATATTACAGAACCGCAGAACAAGAAAATAAACACTTTAATGGACATTGTTTGAGTGTTTTATTTTTTTGCTGCTCTGCAGTTAAATAATCATTTTAGTGCCTGGATGTGAGACTGGGTCTGGATCTGCCCCTGGACCACATTATTGTGAATCTGCAGTCAAGAGGAACCCCATAGTGGGGTGCAATAACCACAGTGTTCCGTGTATCCATGGCGAAAAAATATGCCCATCTTCTCTGCTATGTTCCATGTGAGGATAGAAATATATACCTCTAAGTCCTTCATGTATAATAGGGTAGTTTGGGACCACTGCATTTTAATTATGTATTTGTTTAATTATTTATTATGTGCTACATGCTGTTTGTGTATTCAGTGGGCAATAAGGTATAGTGGAACCAGGTTCTTCCACAGGTGGATATAGAAAGATATGTATGGATATATTTATGATATTGCAACCTCTTAATAATAACTAGTTAATAGTGGAACAAACCGTCAAAGGCAAAATAAGATATTTAATAAACATAAAGAACATTCTGAAATGGATATTTTCATAGACATAGACTAAAAGAAAAATTAAGGAATGTATAAGGTTTTACTGCAGAAAAGGATTCAAAATGATTCAGATAATCTTTAAAATACCAGACCAGACAGGTCTTGATAAATCTGCCACATAAAATATAATTACTAATTATTGTCATGACTGTGTGTCTCTTGACGTTGTGACAAACAAAGTAATTACATGTAAACATAGTAAGTGATTTCTAATTTTTTTTTTAAAATAATTAGATTTTAAAATTCCTTTGAAAAAGATAGGCAGCCCGAGGTGCCTCCTACATCTCAGAGAAATAAGACTAGTTAAATTTTACACACCATTTATAGTAATCCTTACTGGATTTACAAGACGTTTTATGGCAAAAATTAAAAAGAGTGCATACTACACCCATTATGACATCCTAGGTATATATATGTCCCATTACAACATTGTGCTGTATCCACTGATAACTTCTCAACTGAACTTTACTGAAGCTTGAAGAGGACGTAACTAACACTCGGCGCTATGTCTTGCCATTGGAAAAGTGGATCTGTTAGATCATCAGCATGTGGCAGTGTTTCGGGCAGTAGAGTGAGTAGCCTGACGGCAGAATGGGTCAAGGGATCAGAACATCATTCCTCCCTAAATTTCCATTCAAATGATGGCCTCCTACAAGGTGGTGGGGAAAAGGAGGCCATGCAGAACCTGAACATCCGTTTGGCCTCTTACCTGGACAAAGTGCGAGCACTGGAGGAATCCAACGCTGATCTGGAATTAAAGATCAAGGAATGGTACATTAAACACCAGCCACATACTGTACCAGCCGATTACAGCAAGTACTTCCGCATCATTGAAGAACTCAAATGCAGGGTAAGTAAACTGATCTCATGATGATACTTTGCTCAGCACTGTGCAACACTGACCAAAGAAATGGAATATATATGGATTCATGTAACTAATGTTAACGGACAAATGCTTTCAAGTCTACAAATATTTTGTCACAGCAGTCAATAATGCAGGACAATATTGTCCTCTCTGTCCCTCACTTAGGCCTTAATCTGCACTTTTGGGTTAACTTCTTATCTGGTTGACGATAATGATCATGAAAATTGACTTTATCTTTATAGAAGCCAGGGCATCTCTCGAGAAAACTTTTGGTATTGTGTGCCTTGTGTTTATGTTTGTGTCATTTTACACAAATTTTAGCTGGTGATTTAAAAAAAAAAAAAAAAAAGTTTAGATATATGTTTAGTTTGATGAATAAAAATAAATGCCCTTTATAATTAAGTATGCAATAAAATGAAGAATTTACATAATATTAACATAAATTAAAAAACATTATTAATTAATCCATTCATTGCATCAACACCTTAGCAAGATGCCCATGTTTGTGTCCAAAACATTGGGGTTATGTATAAAAAGTGCTGTGTTGTGAAAAGTGGTCCAAAGTGAAGTTGGCCAGTCACCATGGAAACCAGTGGAATCGGCAGGCACATTGCAATAGTGACTCTGACCCTTTTCCATGTTAGCAACACTTTTTAGAAGAGACGAGGTATATACATACGGACTTTAATGCCCAACCACACTGTTACAAAGATACGGGCATTGTACTAGTACTAAATATTGAGTTATGGCTGCTTTGCTAACTGTGTAAAAGTTCTAAAACAAGAATTGTAATAGAAAATAGGAAGTATACAGAAATTATAATAATTAAATTCTTTAACATGGAAAATATGTAAAAAGAATTTAAAGAAAAAGTAAAATTAGATATTAGGAATTGTGTTTTTTTAACAAATATAGAAAAGGTCAAAAGAGAAAGGAGACAGTTAAGTTTAATTTGTTAAAAATTGTCATGTTATAAATTGCATATATTGAGGTTTAGATATGTAAAATGTACACACGATAGCGTAATAATTTGCAAGGATTTAATTCTTTGGCAATTTTTGTGTTTCCTTTTTGTTTCAGTATTATACTGTAATATACTGTATTTTCAAACTCATTGATATGATTCTTGAAAGAGTCTGGAACACCGTGTTTCTGCATAGCAGAGCAAAATGAATTGGTTGTTCAGACATCCGCAAATGTAGACGATAACCACAGACAAGCTGAATTACTGACACATCTGAGCCAAACATAGATATCACTAAACCACAGCTTCTTAACATTATAATTAATCATTGAGCAAAGAGAATAGATCGCATTGTCGTGCAAAATGTATTTTCTTGTATGTCTTTATCGAAAGAATATAATAATACATCATTCTGTGCAAAGTAAGGTTTACATTAATTATCTCTGAAAGTAAATTGAATTAACAATATATTCAGAAACATCAGTATATATTGGAGTTATATAAAAGAACAGAAGGGATAAGGATTAAGAAGAATTGGCAGTTGATTAAAGAGTCAGGAATTAAAATAATTCTCAGAAAATACTAAAATACTATGTCTTAGCCTTATAGGACAACAAAGTTGGAATGATCTCTTAGCTGCAGAACCCATACACTTAAAAGGACACATTATTGCCCAAACAATAAAAATCACTGTTTTTTTGTAGGTATAGCCCCTATGAAAACATGCATGCATTTTTTTTTAAATTTGGGGTTATATCTAAATACTGTGGGGATATTTATGGGATGATAATATTAAACAGTCGAGAATTGCCCACTATTTCAATTCTCTTAGATCTTAGAGATCGTTTATCATGTAAGTGATACAAATAAAATCACCATTTGTTTTAAAAATAGATTTAATTTATTGTAACAAATTAAATAACAATAATATTAGGCAGCATGCATGATAATAATCAGTGAATATTTAGTATAACATAAGTATGCAATACAATGGAATGGCTATACATGTTCCAATGGCTAACAGCATCACCTGTCACTTAATAAGATTTATGAGGGTACTTTACAGACAAAAGTAAAGCTTCACACAGTGAAAAGCCATAAAACCTTGGCTAACAGTTAGATCAACTGAGTAACCCTTTCAATGCTGGCTAGATCCTCCTAGGCATATAGTATCCTATTCTCCTGTGATTTTCAATTAAAATAACATTTGAACCAACTCATTAGTCATTTCCTGGAACCATCTAATAAGAATAATCTACCAGATTTTTACAAAAGCCGAATTTTAGTTTGCCTAAAAAGATATCTTATCTTATTTTAGAGCAAATCAATACACCTGGATAAAAACAGCAGTATGCTAACACGTGATACTATCACATTAATATATAATTATTCTTAATTCCACCTGCAGAATGGAATGTTTATAACTATATATTCTTTAGTTAACTAAGATTTCTAAATATTGAAACCTGACCGTGATTTATCCAGTCATATATCATGCTTTAGTAAATTTTAATTAATTTAAATTAATTAAATAAAACCAGCATAATTACCAGTTATGTAGATATTCTCATCAGATGAGCAGGTAGTCCCAGGAACTTGATTGGTTGTATGGAGGTGCGTGATTGATAGAGAAAAGTGGTGTTGGTTAGAAAGTATCAGTAAATTTTAAGTGTCAAGGAGTTTAAGAGTTGAGTGTCCAAGAGAGTTTGAGGGTTAATTGCTGGAGTCTCCTGGATCTCTCTGCATGTCCGAATCTGAACCAACTAACCTCTCTCTCCCCTTTGTCCTAACTTTTAAAGGGCCAGACTCTCTGTACGTCATTACTTGATAAAGCCAATAGGAAATTGTAGGTGGGTTCAATCTATGGATCGCAATTTAGGTATTTGATCCATAGAGGGCAGTCTCGTCTCACTAAACCTTCCTATCCAGGAAGAGTTAACTTTTCCTGATGATTTGGCTTATCTAAAATGACTACCATAACTTAGATTTGCTGTCAGTTCAAAGCGTTTGTCTCAGTCTTTGTGGCAACTACTTTGATCGTAATTTCTAAAATTGACAGTTCTAAACTCAATTTCACCCCTTACTTACAATGGAACCTTGTAAAATTTTGTAAGTAAAATTAATTACCTAGTCTTCTCTGTCACTAGTGTCTGTGTTTATATAATGCATTCCTTAGCTCAGGCTTAGTGGTTAGTGAAAGCAAGGAACTTATGTGTCTTTGTTATCCTGAAGATAGCAAAATGGAGTCCACTCTGTTCTGAGTGACTCTGGCAATATACACTTTTAATTTCTTTCTTAGCACAAAATGTCTGCCGATATAAATATCCTGACAATACAGCTTGCAAAAGCTGCAGATCTCTTGTAAGGAAGTAACAGGATTGGTTGTTTGATTGGCAGCCTGGGGGGTGTAACAATGTTAATTCATAAAAGTGCCAATTGAAATCTGCGTTTTTTGTAAAATGAAAAAAAGAGAACACACAGAAAGAATTTCAGCATCTGCATCTGGACTGAGCCGTTAATCAAAGGAACCGTTTGGTCCCTGAAATGTGATGTGGCTCAGAAGAAGGCAATAGGATTTTATCTAGAGAATAAATATTTCCTCACATAAGTAAAACATTCTGTGTAATTGCATAATATTTCTTTGAGTTATTTTCATAAAAACATATAAGCTTTCCAAAGGATTCAGAGTTAGAAAAAAACTTGCATAAAAATTCCCATAGACTTTAATGGTGACATATTGATAAATCATTTGAAAATAGTTTTCTCACAGTATTGAATAAGTTGGAAAGCTTACTGAATTGAGGCGAAAGTCTGCTACAAAAGAGATGTCACAATGTTAACTTTGTACGTCTAAAACAATTCTCACAATAATAAAATGTTGGACCTTTGATATTTTTCAGATTCTTGCAGAGACCACTGAAAATTCAAGAATTGTACTACAGATTGATAATGCCAAACTGGCAGCTGAGGACTTCAGAGTTAAGTAAGTGAAGTAAAGAGAGAACAAAAAAAGCTGTATTCAATAAACACCCAATTGTACAATTTTATGTTATTGTATTTTTTTTTTTATTATTATTATTGTTTTTGGTGTAGTGAACAATTATGGAGTGACATGGGTTGTAAATGTTCATTAAATCAATTTATTTATGTTCTAGGTATGAGAGTGAATTGTGCCTTCACCACGGTGTTGAATCAGACATTGCTGGTCTACGTAGAGTATTGGACGAACTGAACTTCGCTAAATCCAATCTGGTGCCTCAGCTCGAAAGCTTGAAGGAAGAGCTGGAATGCCTGAAGAAGAATCACGAAGAGGTGATCATCTAAGGATTGTGTATTTTCAGTGACAATTAAGATGAAGCAACCTTTAAATGTAACAAGAAACCATCACACAGTGTTTATGTATTGCCCATGTTGTAAATGTAATCAATATCTAAAACATAGGTTTTCTTCTACAACAGAGCAATCTGTAAAATGTGTAGATTGTCTTGAAAACGTCCACATTTTATTAGGACAGTGGCCACAATGTCAATCTATCTTAACTATATTTGAATGTTGTGCATATGATCAGCTTTCAGTGTTATAGTTATTTTAGCCACACCATCCAATTTCGTGTTTCAGTAACCAACTTAATGGACATGTTATTTGTTTTTATGACTTCTTCCCAGGAAATGAAGGCTTTGAGAGGGCAAAAGGGAGACATTAATGTTGAAATGGATGCTGCTCCTGGAATCGATCTAAGCAAACTCCTGAATGACATGAGAACACAGTATGAAGTGATTGCAGAGCAGAACAGACAGAAGGCTGAAGAGTGGTTCCATGAAAAGGTAAGTAGATTGTGACCTCTTTCAATATTTTTTAATTTATATTTTTGCTCTGTATAATGGTACAAACTGACTTGTCACGCCCCAACAGTAAGTTACGAGCCATTTAAGAGTCAGAGGTTAAATGTTGTAAGGCATTTAAAGAGGCATGCACATATTTTATGTTTATAAAAATAAAAGATATAGTGGGAGAATAACAAGTTTATGTTAAGAAATAATCAGGCCTGCCTGAATGTGGGACAAGGTATTTGCTTCAAAAACAGAAAAAACTGCTGGCAGGCTCATAGATTACCATAAAGCAATAGGGTAGGAGTAAAAACAGGCTAGTAGCTTGAGAGTAACATTTCACCCCCTGTGAAGTTGCAGGCTGGCCCCAAATGCAAGGACCGGGCTTACCCCCACCGGTCCAAAGGGGGGGAAACGAGGCCAGTACCATGTAGAGCCAGAGATTTTTATTCGCAGTGCAGGATTGGATAATGGGGCAGCGGCCATTCACCCCACCACCTAAGTAGGCCTCAGCTACTGCGGTGTCAATGCACCTTCCAAGGGGCCAGATTATGCAGGGAAGCTGTAGCTTCAGTACCCGGACCTCTGAGCACACAGGACCGCAGACAATCAGTAAGCTTGATTATGTAATCGTAATTATCTGGAAACCGCAGGAGCTGATGATCCATGCGACCTTCCAGCATGGTGGTCCGGCCCCGCTCCCCCTCTTTCAATATTTTTGACTATACCTCAAAGCAAAGGAGTGTGATTACTTGGGTTGTTTAAACATTAGGCTTCTATGACTTGATACTAAAACTCCTTACTACCTATTTTTTATTATGTCTGCAGAGTTCCGAGCTGAACAAGGAGATCACTCATAGTAGTGAAATGGTGGAATGTCATAAGACACAGCTGACCGAATTGAGACGAACCGTTCAAGAACTGGAAATTGAACTTCAGGCACAACTTGCAATGGTGATTTACCTTTCTTCACCTGTAATATAAAAATACTGTGTTATGTACGTGATGTAATTATAGTGCACTGACCTCATAATAGTATCCAGCTATCTTTACCCAAAAATATTTTAACAAAAAATATTACTATCCAGTAAAACTAATACTATCCAGTAAAACTAATAAAATAATTTACTTGTTTCTAACAGAAAAAATCCCTTGAGTGCTCCCTGGCAGAAACAGAACGTTGTTATAGTACGCAACTGGCACAACTTCAGGGTTACGTAGGAAATGTGGAAGAGCAACTAAGTCAAATCCGTGCTGACTTAGAACGCCAGAACACAGAATACAAAGTCCTCCTAGACATCAAGACACGTCTGGAAATGGAGATTGAGACATACCGTAGACTTCTTGATGGAGAAGCGTAAGTATGAGAAGCTAGAATTATATTGTTTTAGTGCATTAGAATTGTAATTTCTATGTTTCCTCAACCTTTAGAAAAAAGGTTTCCTGTAGATATAAGTTCAATCAAAATCAATCTATATAAAACCTCAGCAGGATCCATTACTAGAAGAATGTGTTCACTGGTGGTGGAGGTGTAACGCAGTGAGTAATGAATTCATCAGTGTAGTTTTAGTAAAAATGAGCAGATGAATAAATGGTACTACTGGAAAAGACTCACTTGTATTGCAGGTAGTTATTATTAATTAACATTAATTGGAACCCTTCAGTGTTTCGGTGGTTGTTTGACCATGCATAAATGTGTGATGATGTTTTTGAAGTAAAAACGTGAAAGGAGAAGATGGTGGGGAGAAATTGGTGAATCAATGATCACCCATTTGGAAATGAGGAAACAAGATAAATACAGTAGTTAATATCATTTTTGCCAAATTACATAGCTATCTAGTATAAACTAGACACTTATCCTAACCAGTCAGTCAGTGCATTGAAACTATTTGTTGATGCACCTAGCAAATTTTAAGAACACTCAATCAACATGTTATATGTCAAAATTGCAAATAACAAAGTCTTTTTGTGTGACTGTGGTTTTTTTCGTTTTTTTTTGTAGATGTCAACATAGAGAGATTCCAGCCCATGTGAAAGGTTTGTTCCCTTTTTTTGGACATTGCTTCAAAAATGATTCTTTAAAAAAAATCTAAAATGGAAATATGTCCAACCACAACAGATATAGAAAATGCTAGAGTTTTTTAACACGTAACACCCATTTAAGCGATAACTCTTTCCATCCCTACTTTAGCAATATTCTACAGAAAAACAAAAGATATTTTAATGAAATATCAGATTACTGCTAAGCTGGGTGCATTAACTGTCTTGGCTCTAAATTTTACTTGACATAAATTGGCATCTCTGTGCGTAGCATACTGTAGGGTATTAGTACATTCCCACTCAAGGTTATATCAGAATGAAATACAATTCACTTGAAAGAGAGGTTCCAGAAAAACCTGAGGCTTGATCCCAAAGTTAAACCTCTACCTTAACAGTGATGTGGGGAAATGTCATGACATACCCCAGCCTTTGGATATTATATTTCATTCCTCTCTACCCATGAACAGAGTTTTGATTATGCTATATAGGATATCTATGAAAGCACCTGCTGAACAACCAAATATTCAATGTGATCCCATCACTCTACCTAATGAATAGAGGGTTAGGCAGTAAAGTTCTGTTCCCCAAAACACTCAACCAACAGTCACTCTTGGGCACCATCCTGTAAGTGGCCTTGAGGAGCACTGTACTAGTGAGTTTACTTTGTATATCAGGCAACTGCATTTAAAAACAGCTGTCTAATCTAAATATAAATTAAAAAAAAACACTAGTGTCCTTTTGCCCCCTTTACTATCTGTAGAGATCTGAAGCTAAAGAGTCGCACATCAGGGGATTCAGTCCTCAAAGCCCCCCATTAGTAACGCATATGAGACATGGTCCTTGTATTTAACGATGCACAACATGCTTTAGAAATTAATGTTGCCTTCTTCCATCAAATGAATATAGAATAATATAGCACTATAAAGCATAGTAATGCATAGCATAGTATTAGCATAGTATATTATAGTGTTTGTGTTGTGGCTTTTTTTTTAATTTTAAATCTCACTATTCTTTGTTTTCTTCATATTTCCCCTTGACGCGTGTCTTTAATTTCCAGAGTCAAGCAAGACCAGGAAAGTCACAACAATTGTTGAAGAAGTGGTCAACGGAAAAATCGTGTCACAGAAAGTGAATGCAACCGAAGAGAAGCTAAAACATTAGAAACAAACGTCAACACATGTAAAATAATGTTATTAATACGTTGCTGTATATGTAAGAATGCAAAATATGCAGCAATTATTTGCCACAAAGTTGCTTAACGCAACAGGGAAATGGGTGCATCTATCTGCTTTCAATCTCAAATAAACTTTATCAAGCAAGTAACCTGTTTTGTCTTTGTCCATTTATTTGCATGAGTAAAATAATCCTTATTTAGGTAGTGGCCATATTAGAATTTCATCACAGTTAATAAAAATTCTAGAACCAGTGGCAAAGGTCACCCAGGAGTTATCAAAAGAGGCCCAAGGCCAGGTATGCTCCCAATGCTCCCACTCTTGCAAAACAGTTATTGGGAAGATTGCCAATGCTAAATAAATTGTCAGGGTTCAAGCGCTCAGTGAATGATTCAGACCGCTGCTGGTTACCATGGCGATGCTCAGACTTATTGAGGCAGGAAGTCCTTTTATGTGGTTTGCACTCAGGAGACAACCTGGGATGCGTTCAGCACTACGGGAACCACCAGGGATCTCACCAACTGACCAGTGTCTCTGTCCAGAGTGCTCTTCTACAGGAAGTAATGCAAATAATTGCCTTATGCAACTAGTAGCATGTTTGGTGACATTTATACACTCTGCTTTACGTGGACACCAGAGAAATTAACTCAGGATTGTGGGACAGTGTAGTCATGTCAGTGCTGGCCCACTGAATACAGCACATTTGGGCGATATGCTCATTGCGTGATCTCATCATTTACAGCTTTTAGTAATTTGAGTCCTACAGACTATGTAAAAAAAATTGAATGATTTCTACAGTATTGAGCATTTCTCAATTCACCCTACCATCTAAATAAAAATTAAAAAAAAATAAAACCAATATAATTTCATTTTTTCAATTAGGATATATCCCATCTCTAGATGTAAAATTCTTGGGAACATGAGCTGAATTGGGGGAGGTCCATATAGTAAACTATCTAACTTATTATAATTAATAACTTACTCCCCCCCCACCCCAGCCATGAAATGTCAAGAATAAGAGGATTTAAAACTGGTTTGAAACCTGATCAACCGCATTCTCAGAACAGATAGCATTCTGACAAGCTGCTCTTTTCAGGAAATGTAAGCTTTCCATAGTGTCCAGCGTGGCAGGTCTCTGAAGAAACATGTAAATATCTTCATAGCGATACAAATATTTTTACTCCAGAATTTTCTTTAAGGAGCAGAATCCGAGGAACCTTCACACATGAAATTCTGGTCCTCAGTAAGTACAAAGAAATCATCCCTTGTCTGTTATTTTTGGGTATGTCATGTCAGGGAGAAGCCCAAACAAAAAGTCTGGGTGGTATGTTGTAGGACAAGCTCAATCAAACATAAAACATGTTTTAGATAAGTGTGCTGAAGTCAAGTGCTGATGACACAGTGTGGATTTCATGACAATGCTAAGAAAAATCCTGTCTTTTTATAGCTGGACATACCTTACTATCAGAGAGATAATATAGCTGAAGAGACTTACTTCAAGTCAAATATTGAGTATTTAATTATGGACAGGGTGTATACTCCCAATGCACATTTAAAAAGTCATGAAATTGTTAAAATATTATTTTTTTCTATCTGCTTGGAATAATAGAATGTTTGTTTATAAAATACTTGCACACAAGCAATAATATGTTAAAAACTTAATAGACTATTAATATTATTACTTGCCAACTTTGGCTTTGCTTCCATGGATGTCAATAAAAATATTTAAGCATTGTTAATACCAAAAGTCAATGTTATTAATGGCGTTTATATAGCACCAATTTAATTTAACAATAAATTGAATAATTGCAAAATGTTACATGAACAATAGGTTGATGAGAACCTTGGTCAAAAGAGCTTACAGTCTAGAGGAGATGTTTATGGCTAACAAATACTGACAGACTTCCGTGGTCCACACCTGCGTTTAAATTCTACACTCTACTCATGTCTACTTCCACTAATACTGACCTCCAATAACATAATATTTGCAGATTCCACACTGGGCGTACATTAAGAAAAAGGCATGTTGCCATAGCAACTCCACCAGGACACAATAAAATGGTACCAAAACTGTACTTAAATATAAAATTGCTGTTTTTTGAGTGTTGTTTTTTTTTAAATAGGATGTATTGAGAGTTCGCAGTTCATAACATGCCATTTTATCTTTACACCTAGATGAGACTGATGTAGTTTTAGTCAACATGTAACCAATTTTTAGCATTTAGCCTGGACGCCAGGTGCTTCTTAGCGTTTACCAACTCCTATTATTTTCGGAGAGAGATGTTAAAACTCTCAGCAATCACTAATAATGTGTCAATAAAAATGTTAAATTCGGAGCATGGAAAGGACTTTAAAACTGCTACTGCAATTTAAGCAATTACTGACCTGTCACTAAATGATTGCAACAAACATAGTAACAAGCCCCAAGGGCAAGTGTAAGATCAGAAGAGGATGTGAATGGGTGAGAACACTATTCCTACAAGGTGATGCTAGTGATAGAATTATTGTCAATGGAAATGTGCCCAGTCATAAAGGTAGCGTAACAACTGCACGCACACCATAATGGCAGCCTACGCAGCGACGATGCAATGCATGCTCTCCCATATACAGAGCGCTGTTGACTCACTCACCTATGGGCTCAAATACCCTGGAATTATTGCCTAGTGGTGCGTCAGTGCGTTTAAACGTGCTCTTGCGCTGAACTGCGCAAGTCCTCTTGACACAGTGCGACAGAATCTGCTCTGTCGGGTGAGAAGGAGGAATGTTTATATTTTGGATGTCACACAGTATAATGGCGTGACTTCACACATCTGCTCAAGGCTATAATCAGTTAAAGGATCACTATAGGGTCAGGAACACAAACATGTATTCCTGACCCTATAGTGTTAACACCACCATCTAGCCCCCCTGGGCCCCTCATGCCTCCATAAATATAGTACAAATCTTACTGTATTCAAGCCTGAAGCTGTTAGACTCAGAAAAACAAGCAGTCTGATGACATCATCAGAAGTGGTGGCCTGATCCAATCACAGTGCTTCCCCATAGGATCGGCTGAGACTGACAAAGAGGCAGGTCAGGGGCAAAGCCAGCATGATTCAAACACAGCCCTGACCAATCAGCATCTGCATGCAGAGGGAGGAGACACTGAATGTTTGGATGCATTTTAGGCAGCCATGGCCAGGAAGGATCTCTAACAGCCATCTGAGGAGTGGCCAGTGAAGTTATCACTAGGCTGTAATGTAAACACTGCATTTTCTCTGAAAAGACCGTGTTTACAGCAAAAAGCCTGAAGGTAATGATTCTACTCACCAGAACAAATTCAATAAGCTGTAGTTGTTCTGGTGGCTATAGTGTCCCATTAAGTGAGGCAGCCTGCAGCATGTTTGCAATGCAGATGCAGAACTGGAGTACGCAATTGTGGCAATTGTAATATGATTATATATATATACATATATATATATATATATATATCGCAACCTAGTGAGTGTGCTTATAGCTATATACACTTTATACACGTGTGTATTCAGGTTCCTCCTCTAAGTCATCTTTATACCCCACACCTCTGTTTGCTTTTTGCATCTTAATAGTGTGCGATTCATATTATGTCTGACAATATCCTGTAACCATTCACCTCTAATTACCACCTGCACGCTACTATTGACACTAAAATCTTTCTGTTGTTAAACTTTCCCAGCACTCCTTGTGCCATAGTTACAGTTAACACACCTTCCTCAAGTTTTGTAACCTAACACCCAGTGACTACGTCATGTGTATATGTTGTATCCTATTGTATTTGTTAACTAGCGAACGCCTAAAGTGATCTATTTTGAGTTTGAGAAATCACAAGATAGACAGAAATATGTCTAAAATAATCTATTTTCAGTTTGTGAAATCGCAAGATATACGCATTAAATTCTATATTTTGGAAGTTTGACTTTAAATTCATGCGCTACTGCAATGCTGGGCACAACATCAATACTTAGTGAGCATCTGTGATCTGTGTGCCAAGCATTTTTGGACATTTTTGCCCCTCTTATGGGCTGTATCTCAACAATGACATCATACAGATACATGTCAACATATTTTAGTAAAATTGAAAATGTGTCTATAGAGTCAACTGTAATTTGGCAGCTGAATATAAATATGATATTTTATGGTTTATAAAGTGATGTTTTGATATAATAATAAACTAAAATTCTGGCAGATTGCCTTGGCGTTCGCTGGCAGTTTTTAACAATTAATTTACAGTTACAGCATCCCACCATGTAGACGTGCTAGAAGCAGGGTTCTCCAAAATCTGCCCCTCTTGTTGCTGAACTATAACTCCCATGATTCTTAGAGTGAACTAGATAGCCATAGATTTATGGGAACTGTAGTTCAGCAACATCTGGAGGGCCAGAGTTTGGAGTACCCTGTGCTAGAAGTTGGAGACTTTTGCATTTGACATCTTTCTACAGAATGCCACCATGGGGGCTCACTGGTAGACTGTGATTGTCTCATGACTCTTTTAGAATGTGGTGGAATTATTGTCAAGCTTTTCAAAAGGCAAAGACAGAGTTTCCATCACTATTTTCACTCACCTGTCGGCCTGTGACTGCTGATTAGGACAGGCATCAGATAGCGATGCATAGTAGTTGCCTATGACACTGTAATGTGTGCATGTACGAGTTTATCTGTGGAAGATTACTTTGTCTCACAGGATCCACAAACTCTGTTTCATATTCTTGGAATGTGCAAGAGTACAAAATCAACAAGGGTTCCTGGCACACAAAGTCGCCTGAGCAGTGACACTGAGGTGGCAAATAGATGTCGGTGTAGGAGGGGTAGCTGAAGATATCTCACTATCTGTTCTGTCCTCTTCAACCTATGCACATGTGGACATGTCACCTTGCACAGAATGACAGAACATTTTAGGTGGTTTGTTCTACCCTTCGTCTCCTTCCCCATTCTCTGCATTAGGTTGTAAGCTAACTGCACGTTTCTTTTTGTACTTTGAATTAAAGTGTTCCACGTTCTTCTGCTTTGTTTTTGTAGCAGTTTAATTATATATTGTACTGTTTGTAATCCCTACCTTTTGTCAGTGTACCCATTGTATGTTGCCGCCGAAAATAATGGTGCTTTATAAACCTATTTATAATCATTGTAATAATAACTATAGTAGGCTCCGTGAATAGGGCA